TCTGGAATGCTGCTCATTGAAAACTGAACAGCAGCGGCTAGCACGGCTGCTTAACTGTAACCCGTGCCTGTTTCCTTTCTAAAAAAATGGGCCACCGATCATCTTCCTGCCTCTCCTTCCTTCTCGGCGACGTAACCCCCCGTCGTCGTTTTCATCCGTATCGATTGGCCGACTTAAAATTCCTCTCTGCTGATGCACGCTCGATTTCGTCGAAGGATAATAAATTTCGAGGTCGATACAAGATCGAGGATAACCCGTTAATAAATTGTCCGCGTACGCGGATCTTATTTTGCTGGTGAAAATCTCTCACTGACCCTACTGACTCCGTGATTCTCATTCGGAATACATAATCAACTAAAGTGTCTACGGACGATTGCTCCTATGATTTATCGCTGCGAAATTTGTAGTTAGGAAATCAATTTGTAGAGTTCTGTTGACTTATAGATTAAAGGATATTTTTCATTCTACGATCGTCAGCGTAAATCTAAGAACGTCTAATAATCGTCGTTATACACTTCTTATATACTCTCGCTAATATGCACCGTACACGTATGCGTATGTAAACCTACAAAATTCTGAAAGTTTCTAACGCTGAATGGACTTCAAAAACGTGAACGACATGCTGCGACAGAGAACAAATGCATGAGGTTGCAGCATCGCGTTTCTCGAATAGTATTAATGGTATTATCATCAAGATCGCTGAAAGCGCAACAGCTGTTTCAATTTTTCATATACCTGACGTTGAAACATCTGTCGAACCGCTTTAGAAACGAGACTAACCGTGCTACGTTCAACAACGACCCACATACCTTATATGTAATTAAATTAAACAGCATCGATGCCGTTGAGAAACGCAACGGACACCGTACGATACTTCTCGTGCGTGATAATTACGCCCCGCGGAAATTAATAAGCATTCAAAGCGCAGCCAATTTACGGGAACACCGTGGAATGTTCTTGTCTCGTGTTCGATCGCGGGCTACATGATTCGTCGCGTGTAAAAAATCGTGTATACAATAGCTCACGAAAGTATTCGAACACTGGTAGGAACATTTTTTATTTTTTAAAATTCAATGAGTCTCTTATCCTTTTGTTCGGTTCTGAAGTTAAACATATGCTCTTCCAAAGCATTACTCATCGTAGTATTGAAATAATGCTTGTTTTAATAATTATACTTTTAGTTTCTACAAAACTCCATCAGCTTATCATCTATTTTTAAAAGACTTACATATCTATATCTTTGAACCTGTCAAGTTGTTTTTATTTGAATTACCAATTTAACAAAAAGCATTGTACACCATTATATTCATTATTATTTTACATAGTAATTAATTAAGTCCAAGTATTTAAAATTTTGTATCGTTTAATAGTAGTATCGTATGACTAAACAAATATGATACTACGCACAAATGAGATATATATGTATATATAAAAGTCGACAAAAAAAAAAGTTTCGTTAGAAAGAAGATACGTATAAATACTTTTTATTGTCATTGTACGTCATTAGAGTCCTACTGTCTGATCATAAAGTAGCGCTAAAATCAGGAAGCCAACAGAAATGTACTTATCATGTCCTTTTTTTGTGATCCTCATATTATATCAGATCTGCTCCAAATTTTACCAATATAACTATTCTTTTGGCTTTGTGCCAATTGTGTCTTATTAAAGTATTTATGAAATTTTTTAATGTTTTATATAACGCATGTAATGCATACACATAAAGGATTTTTACAATAAGTGTAGAAATACTTTCGTGAGCCATACCATTATATATGCACGTCGAAAGATGCACGATACCGGTTCCTCCGTGAACGCGTGCAAGTGCAACCGCGAGTTACCAACTATCTCTCGACAGTTTGCATTTGAATTACATTTGTCCACAATCTCGTCACCGGTGTTAACCACCGTCCTCGACTGAGAGCTTCTTTCACGATATCCGATAACGCGTTAGAAACATCTGAAATATTTCATTAGTTGGTAAAAAGTCATAATAAAAACATTAAAAACTTCTCGTAGAATCCAGTACTACGTAATCTTAAGAACGTATAAAATGGAAAAAAAATGAAAGAGCAAAGAATAAAGAAAATAAAGAAGGGAAATAATGAAATGACGAAAGAATTGAATTGAATTCTATTTTAACGCTTGCTTAATGAATAGTTTGTAATTACTATTGTTCTACCTTATCTCAAATGGTATCAACTTTATGCTATCAACTTTATTGCTTAATTCGATATATGAATATTTCTTTATAAATAAAAAAAAAACATTAAAAAAACGAAACATGAAAATAAGAATAGAAAGATTAGGCTAAATTTTTCTGTTATTGTGTTCCACCAGTAACCAAGGATATTTCAATCTAAACGAACATGAATAGAATAACAGCTTTGAATTTAATTATACTTTTAAAATATTTCGCAGATTAGATGATATCGAACCGATCATCAGGAAGGTATAATCTTTCACATTTAAGTTATCCGAATGAAGAAAATCGAGTTTCCAGTGAGAAAGCGTGAATCGAGCTACTCACGTTCAAAAATCGCGTACGAGCTGATTTGAATAGTCGTCCAACCAGTCTTTCGAGAGCAACACGCTGACACGTGTGAATTCACGCATTTTTCATTTGGATAAACCGCTTTCGAGCGACATGGAACGATTCTGTTAAAATTGCCCGACTAAACGACATCGAGTATCGTGACATCTTTTCCAAGATACTTTCTCGAACAATTAATTCGTTGACTCATTTGGAATAAGCGACACTTTGCGATCGGTAATGAGTCGTATATATGAGCGCTCGTGAGAGAAATCGAGAATCCCATTGACGTTTCCCTGCTCGATCGTCGTTTAAAGGTACCGCTGTGTTGATCAATTCGTACGGTAACTTCTACCAGGGAAAAATATCGATACAATAGCATCTACGCGTCAGATATTAATCTGTTCTGACACAATGGAAAAAGGTCAATTCTACACCGTTGATTCTCACGTACACTACCGGCCATAAGTGTTAGAACATTTTCTAATATTTCATTATTTTTATTGTCTAGTTACTTCTTTATAAATATTACAATAAAGTTTTACAATAAGCACTAAATGAAGTACAATTTGTTAGACTGTCCCAATGAATGTAACGAGCAGGTGTCCTAATACTTATACGACTGACGATATAAATAGTACGTTTTGATAGCAAGATACGTAGTACGATAGTATGACAGTAAGATTTTGCTCTTCCACGCTCAATTTCTTATTCATACGCGTGTACACTAAACTTACCTCCATTTTCATTGTTGCTACCGACAGGATTTCTCAGCGAAGGTCAAACACTAAATCCTTTGTCGGACGTGTTCCTTCTGCTTGCCGAACTCGAATTCGGTCCGTTTATCTGATCGTGGACGCAGGTGGTTTACGTTCGTATCTATTATCATGCCGCGCAGTTACGTCACATCGTCGGATCTCTTTTTTTTTCTTTTCACCGTGTACCCGCCGATGAAAGTGTAAAAGTTGCAAGGGGATTTGTTGACGACTATCTCTATCTCTTCTCCGTTGACGACTGCTTTTGAGAGTTGATCCGGCTTCGACTACGATCACCGCACCAAGCCGAATTCTCTTCGATCCGTGGCGTGGAACCGTAACGCGAAAGCTTGATCGTGTTCGATCGATTCCCTTCAGATAATTTCCAACCTGACACCCGAAGAGGATCTCGCGTGATCTATGAGATGCGAGAGCGTGAATCGTGTTTGCCACGACGACTCGAGACTCTCAGAGTACAGCTAACCAGATTGGTCGAGGGGAAACACGACAAGAAGCCGGTGTATATTATTGCGAGACGCGACAACGACACTCGCTAGACTTTGCTTTCGAAACTAATTTTTCGTGCACGTTCCATTCTTCTTCTTTACCCGGTTACTCCTGTAATTTCTGAAACCGCGAGCTTATGATTGAAACACGGCTGAACTCCGTTCGGCGACTGCCATTTTACCTGCGTGACCTTGTTCCCCGACCCGTTCTCCGAACAAAAGCAACAGAGTCGAACCGCGCTGCATCTGATACAAATCACTTTTCGGCTTATCATGTGCGTAAATATACACTTTCGCAATTTCCATTCTATCCACCATGCGATGTCGTTTTTATTTCCTCTCTTGTTTTTCCTAGTTTTATCTGAAACAACTAAAATGTTATAACCTGGTGTTTATTTTTACATCGCGCAGGTATTTTTCCTAGAAATATGACGAATATAATGAATAATAATGATAATTACTTTTCTAATGTAAATGATTGGATAATTGTTTGTTCAATTAAAGAAAGTATCATATTATTATTCAGTAAACTTTATGTATACTTACATGATTACATACATAACTTTCAATTTTGTTTAAATAGAGTTTTACATGTTTATAACAATTGAGTCTTCAATTCCTTTTTAACAGTATATCAGATATGGTATGGCACACAGGGTATTTGAGATTAAATCTTGGTGGAATTTAAACTGATATTAATCTTTTTCCTTTACATTGAAATATAAAAATTACGATTGAATCATAATATTTGTAATATGTTTAAAAGCAACTACAATTGTAGTAAACGTGCACGTAATCAAAGATTGTATTAGGCTTTAAATCTCACTACAATAGGCACAAATAATAATAACATTGCGATATAAAGGTATTTTTGTGTTGATAAAAGATTACACAAACTGTTTTAAATTTGATTTTACCGCATAATTGAGCGTATGCCATATCGCGCGCGCCATCTGTATCCTTTAGTTTTACATTTTTTAAATTCAAGGCGAATTATTTATAATTTTTGTAACAGATTTAGGGGCAAATATGATTAATGACTTTATGTAATATTTCATAAAATTAATAAGATTGTATCATATCTAAAATGTTATTAAAATGCTTTAATTTTTGCTTATTACATACTTACGTTTTTTGTAAATGGTCCGTTAGGAATTCAACGGAAACGTTATTGCCATTGGATATTTCCCTTTTAAAATATTCTATTTTATAATAATAACCAATGAGATAATGTTTGAAATTCTTACACATTAAGTTTTGCCAATAAAGAGTGTGTGATTTTTATGTTTTACATTTGACGAGTATTCATACAATTTGAGAAATGATCATATATACTTACATATGTAAATAAGTACATATAGTACAGACATTCTCTGCTGTTGCATGAGATTTTATACCTGTAAGAATTACGTATTTTAAATTAATCAATGAATGAATAAATTTATTATTATATTATAATTTTAATTACATATAAATACATATAAATATATTTTTCATTTAAATATATAGTTATTAAGCATTCACCATTTTTCGACTTCTTGTATTAATGTATATTTGCATAAAAGTTCAATTGTAATGGATTGTACCAAGAAAGAGTGTCACATACAAATAATGAGTAAAGGACAATTCTCCCCAGTTAATAGTAAGCAGTTCAATATTTTTAATATATTAATTTTTAAGCAATGGATATAATGCACATAGAGTACAAAACATGTTTTATTGAATGTATATTACAGAACTTACGCATACAAAATCAACACAAGGAAGAAATTTAACAGGTTCTGCTCGCCATATACGAGATTTAATTGCAGATATTCATAAAAATATACAAATTTGGAATACACTTCATTTAGAAGGAGTAACATTACTAAATAACATAACTCAAGCGAAACAAGATGAATCTTATTCTGAAATTTTGCAAGAACAATGTGATAAATTGGAGATTATTTGTGATGGATTGGTAATGCGCTTTCTACATGATTATTTTTTATTTAATATTATTGTCATAAAGATAATTTTATTATAATATTACTTTCTAGGACGATATTGTAAAAAATTTTGCTCAAATTGAACAACAGATGAAAATAACAGCTTCTTTAGAAACTAGCAAGGACAAGTTATTTACAACATGGCCTAGTTCAAAATTTGGTAAAAATGCACAATTATATTTTATCTATAAAAATTAGTATATTTTTATAATTAATCTATCTTATAAGATTATGATTAATTTTAGGACAAGTTGCAAAATCAATATTTAGTTTATATTCTAATGAAGCAAAAGTGAAGCGTGCAATTTTGGAAGATACAGCGCATTATTATACAGAATCTAGGAAAATGTTGTTCCTTGCTAGTTGGGTGCATCAACCATTATTGCCAGAAAATCTAACAACAGTCTTAGAATCAATGTTAATAGAGAGTGGACATAGGTAATTAATTATTGGTGATATAAATTTTGGTAAGTATTTTTCTATTTCAAAAACAATTCAATGTTTACAATTATTATTTTTTGTATTATATCATAAGTTACAACTATTGAAATAAAACAAAGATTAACAGAATGATCATTTATTTGTGGCTTTCCAAATACCATTTGTATAATTTCACAAAACGAAATATATCAAATTGAAATATATAGTCCAAATCTAAAGTGAATTATGAAATTCTGTTTACAATTGGTACCTGAGATCGCAAAGAATTAATATGAATATAGATAAATATAAATATACTAGAAATTTGCTTGAAAATGCAGATTCTAGAATATGTATCTATAGATACAAGGAATTAAATCTGCAAAATTAATGCATTTTATGATTAATTATATTCTGATTAGTATTTTTAATGTTAGTGCCATTAATTTTTAATTATATCAATAACTTCTTATATATGTATAATACATTATTTACAGATAAATAGAAAATTAATAATTTTCACTGTACATAAATGCTATAACAATGTGGATGGAATTATTTTTTTGATGTTTAAAGTATTTTCAATGATTTAGTATTTCATACAAAAGCTGTAAATAATTCACGTTAATTCATTACTACTTATAATCTGTAATATTTTTGTTGTCGTTACAATGAAATTATTGATATAATATAAATACAATTTTTATTTTACTCATCAGTTTATCAATACAGGTATTATCCTATTAAATATTTAATAATAGATATAGAAAGTTAAAATTAAATCGTAAAATAATTTGTGCATAAACATTTTTGTTTTATGTTTATAATAATGTTATAACTAAAAAGAAATTACAATATATGTCTGTCAGACTGTACAACCAACAACTATGAGAAATTATATGTACACAAAATTTTTATATTTGTTTCACGTTGTTTAATATATAACCTTGGTAATTTTAATTTCTTATCTTCTTTCTTATCTGAATTATCTTCTTTCAAGAAAGTAAACTTAAACTGAAAGTATTAGTTGCACTATGTGTATGATTATAAAGACCGTTTACTAAAAATAAAATGTATCTATATGTTGTAGTAAAAATTTGTAGAAGACAATACAACAAAGTAAAATTTCTTTGTATAACATCAATGCATTTTTTAACATTGTCAATACAACATGACACTATCTTTTTCCATGTGAAATATACATTATACACAATAAATATAACAGAAACAGTCTTATTTACATACACATATTAGAATACAAGACATTATATTACTTTACTATTGATACTCTTCATTCAAATATGGAAGTTATAATATATTGATTGTGTGATACTGTCAGAAATTCTATAAAAAAATATCTACACAATTGTGTAATCATACATATACATTTCAATTATACGTTTGATATTATTATACACTATACATATTACTTCAATTTGTTTAGGAACATCTTGCATGTAATCATTCAAAAATCAACTTCTGGTATTTCTATTAAATTCTTCACTTAATGCTTCAAAATCAAGATCAGTATCTAAATTTGAATTATTTGATATCAAATTGTTCTCTAAAATATTATCTGGCATAATATTTTTTAATCGTTCAGATACAAGCTCATCAACTAAATTTGACTGATCTACTAGATGCAGTTGCTCTACTAATTTTTCATCAATTAGTAAGTTTTTATCTATTACTCCACTTGTATTTAGAATGTCTAAATGTGTTATGTGATCGTACTGAGCTATTTTTGATATATCTAAATTTTCTGAACTTTCAAATATACCAGTATCACAATTACTAGAAATTATTGGTACTGTATCTTGAAGTATAGGTAGGTTATCTGAAATCTTACAACTGGAAGTAGCAGGCATTATTTTGCAAGAATTTGTGTCTAATGGTGCAGATTGTGTTTTAACACAATTTGTATCCGGTACAGTCATAGGAATTATTTTAGAAACTAGTTTTTGGAATCCTTTAATAAAGTTCTGAGATCCACTCTCCATGCTATTCAAACCATTTTGTATTTTCTCAAAGTTCTGAGCATCTTGTTTTACATAAGTTTCCATAGATCCATTTTCTAATTTGACAAAGCCCTGTTCTGTTGGTTCTAATTTTATGAAAGCCTGTTCCATATGTCCTATTTTAGATTGGTCATAATTATCTTCAATGTTACAAAAGTTTGACGATCCTAAACTGTTCCCTAATTTAGTAAAATTCTCTTTATGAGAATCCGTTTTTTGATAACTTGAAATTTTTGGCGAAGTGATATCCACTTTTTGGAATCCAGGATTATCTGAAATTTGATTCTGAATCTCTGGATTTGATATTAAAAGTTTCGATACATTGCTAGATTTGTTACTTTCTGCATTATTCACAGGACTAGGATTTCTTCGCATTAATGTTAAAGCTGATAACACTTCTGGGCAAGTAGGATTTGTCACAGAGTCACCTCTTCTTTCACTTAAAAAGTCTGAGACACTGAGATCTGAACTTTCAGAAAATCCGCTAGACATTCGTTCTTCTATATTTTCTTTACCATCTTCAGAATTATCTGTTTTCTGACGTTTAAGGGGTGGCTCTTCATTCTCATAGGTAGAACAAATAGAAGTATCAACCTTTTTTAGAGCTTCATTATTAATCTTATATAAACCTGGATTGAGACCTAAAGCATCACAAAGTGATTCTTCACTGATATCAATCAAATCTTTGTTTGTTTCTTCATCATTATTTATAGTAGTCAACATTGTTTTAGTTTTTTCTCGTATTTTATCCATTAATTGTTTTAATTCGCCCAAAAAGTTCCTTACATTATTTTCGGACTTTAGTACTAATAAATCAAATAATGATTGTGCGTTAAGTACCGGTTTTGCAGCTATTTTTATTATTTCAAGATCTTCACATACAGAAATTGCTTCGCGTAACTTTATTTGACGTCTTTCTGACTTAGCCTCTGGTGTAACATAAGCCCAAGGACCTCGCTTCTTTCCTTTTCGTTTTAAAGGATCTTGACCCCCATTTTGTTTTAATTCAGGTTCAGGCGTTGGTGGAGGTAGTTGTTCAGGACTTCCATGGTCAGGATGCATCTCAAAATGTCTCGCCATACGAGTACGCCCTAAATATATTTTATTACATGTAGGACACCTAAAATGATCTGATATTTTTCTTTTTGGTACTTCTAGCCCTGTTAATAATTCTTTAGGTGATTCTTCTTCCTCAAGTTTATCATTATTGGTGTTATAATCGCTATAACCACCATCTGAATCATCTAAATCAGGTTGTAGAAAATCTGAATGGTGCAAATGTTTATAATCCCGAACCATATGTCTAGGAGGTCGAGAAAGTCTGCCAGATCGTGTTCTAGCTACAACTTTCTTTCTTTCATCCTAAAGAAATATTATATTTAGTATGTTAGAATCATAAAACAATTCCAAAATACAGCAAATTAAGTAAAAGAAACCTTCAATTCTTCCTGTTCTTCATCAGGAATTGGTGGTGGTTTAGATGGAAGTAAGGAAGGTCTGATAGCACTTTTTTTTGGTCTACCTCTTTTTCCACCACGATTTTTTAATATATTTCCTGGATTTCTAATTTGTAAATCCAGTTCTTCAGGAAATACAACCCTATACATACATTTAGTTAATTTAGGTATAAAATTTCATAATATCCAAATAACTTCATATATTTACCTATATACTACTCTTTCATTTGACGTAGCTGCTTCTTGACTACGTTGTTGCAGAACATGTGCAATTTGTTTTAATTGTGTTGGTGTTAAGCGTTGTATACTGGAATAAATATTATTGTTATTAAATGAAAGAACTTGATAAGTATATTGCATTGTATGTATTATTATTCCAATATTATTTGTATACCTATGAAACGTTTGACCTTGCTGAACTATTTGTATGGGGTTTTCACTAGAACCTAATGGCTTAGATGTATCTGTAGATTCATTTACTATTGTTGTAGATTTAACAGTACCTTTAGCTTTTTTATTAACTTTAAGATTTGCGCCATTTACTACAAGATTAAGTTTTTGTTTGGTAGCTTCACTTTGAACTGACTTAGCAGATTCAAATGTACTACTTTGTTGTGTTATAGGTGTTTTTTGTGAATTATTTTGTGAATTGTTTGAAATACTGGCAACGTTTTGAGTTGCAATAGTAACATTTTGCTTAGTTGTGTTGTTAAATGCAATTTTTGCTTGAGGTTTTAAAATTGATATTGGTGTTGAAGAAATTTGGGTTGGTTTTAAAATAGATGCAGAATTTGTTGTTACTGTTTTTAAATCTTGAGCTTTAACAATCGATGCTGTCCGAAGCAAAACTGGTGTATCAGGATTAGGTGCAGTTTTTGATGTTCCAATTGTTCCCGTAGTTTTCTTACTAATTACAGCTCTTGTTTTAAGTAACTGAGGGGGGATTTGAACTGATTTTAAAAATTGTGCTGGAATAGCTGTAGTCACGCTGGTATTATTAAGAATATGATTAGTTTTTGGAAGCACAGTCGATGCACCTTTTAGCACTGGAGTTAAAAGTTGTTGAACATTTCCCCTTTGTAGAGATTGTGATGTTTTTACAATTGGAGACAAACGTATTTGTGGAGTAACAATATTTTGTGTTGCTCCAGATGTGGTGTTTACAGTGGTATTTGAAATATGTGGTGTACCAATAGATTGGTTCTGTATTTCACAAGCACTAGTTAACAGCTGAGTGTTTAATAATTGTGCAGATATACCACTAGTATTTAACAATTGAGCTGTTATAGGTGTAGCTTTTATTATCTGTGGTGACAAATTGTTTAATATTGTAGCCTTTGAAAGTAATACAGAATTAGCATTTGAATTAGTATTAAGTGAATGTACTGCATTAATGGAATTAACAGTTGTGTTACTTAATTTGTTTGAATTCTGAAGTAATCTAATGTTCTTAGCTGGTTTCAATATAGTTTGTGCAGGTTTTATGATAAATTGTGAAGATGGTAAAATCACTGGTAGTTTCTGTAAGATTTGCGCTTGGGTATTGGGTATTGTATTATGTTGATTTTGCGCTATATTTTCTTCGATAGTATATTGCAAATTGTTTTCATGAATATTTTTTACATGTGTAACATCTGCTTTTATTCCATGTACTTTAGGCTGCTCTAGAACTATTGTCTGTGTACCCGAACTTTGTTGAATTATATTATTCTGATGTTCAATTATTTGTTGAGCTTCATGATTTTGACTACTTAAACTTATTTCTTCTAATGATATATTGTTTTCGACTATTTGATCTTGAAGTTGTTCCGTGTGGGAAACTTTTTGCATATGCCATTCTTGGAAATCAATGCACTCTGTTTTAATCAATTCAGTATCATTGGACTTTTGTACTTCCTCAGGTTGATAATTTAACTGATCGATTGTTATAGATTCCTGAGAAGATAATGAATTTTGGTCCTGTACATTAATGTTATCTTTTCCAGAAACATTCTCTGGTATGTTTGAAGTGGTGTTATCTTGTTCCTGTTGATATATAACCTCTTCATTCGAGTTTACCTCGAAGGTTAGTCCTAAGGCTACCGCTTGTTCTGGAGTCAAGTGTATAGTTTGAGAATCATTGTCGTCGTTTTGTAAAAACGCGACAAACTCATTATCATGATCGTCATCATCAACAACTTGCTGGAACGCTTGTTGAAGAAGATCGGAAGCACCAGTAGAAGATGCATCGTTTGTAAACACAGTGGAATTCGAAATTTCTGCCATATCCAAAATTTTCTAGCTCCTTAGCTTATAAAAGATAATTATGCAATAGTAACAATTACTTTCATATTGAAGAATAATATTTTACGTGATTCTTTCTTTGGAAATTCTCTTTATAATTTGCATTTATTCCATTTAGCTGTACACGTTTTTCGCACAAACAGAAACATATTAGGTGTATGAAGTTTGTCACAGATATAGCAAAGAAAATGGCGACAGCATCAGTAGTGTATAGTTGCATAGTTGGTAATTCGTATTTATGTCTATTTTCATTGCATCGTTTATTCGATATTGATATTGTACGATAGTTACACAGCTACACAAAATACTTTGTTCTGTATATGATGAAATTGTAAATCTTATTGTAATACATTTTTGTATGTACTGTTATAAAAATATATTTAGCACGGAAATAAAATTGTGATAAAGTTAAAAGAAATAACACGTTAAAGTATCTATGAATGTTATTCGAATGTATTGTATGAACTTCATGCACAATTCTTTGTTTCGAGGGTTTAAATATGTAATTGAAAATGAATATTTATTTTTTTGTGTCTATTTGGTCATATTTTAATCCAACTTGCATTGATATTGCATCAAACTGTTGTGTATGATTTATTACAGTTTCACGTAATTGTATATATGTATACAATTTGTATTGATATTAAATTACAATTAATGCATACATAGTGTCATAAATGTGTAGTTGCGCGATAACATTGTAAATTTTGTGAATCCAAAGTCTATTCTAACATAAAAGGAATATCAAATAAATAAAAGATACAAAGTACGAATATGGTAAGTGTCACCAATGATACAATTTGCTATGTTGATAATTTATATCATTTGTAAATAAATTATTCGGAAGAATTTAATACTGTATTTTATGTACATATTGATACTTACTTAATAATGATATTGTTAATTGTGAAATAATTAAATATTTGTGACAAGCATCCCAATACTTAAATAAACAGTCTTGTTTCAAATTATCAGATTTTGTCTTTTATTTTATTCTTAAATTTTATCTTTATTAAAATATTTGGAAATCAAATGTATTTTAAGTAATTAAATGTTATTTTACATATATATGTAAAATAAAACAAAATAAAAAATATTAGTTTATAATAAACCATTTTTTAAATAGCTTCAAATACGTATCATTTATGACAATATGTACATATTAATACTAAGATAATATTTACATATTAATAATAACATTGTTATCGTAGGATGATGATGATCAGTATCAAGCTGGTTATGATGTAGGATCTTTTCCTAAAGATTTTGGATATGCTCCATTTGATGGGGAAACAGAAGGATCTATGGATCCTTTAGCAGGAGAACAAAAACCTAGAATATTATTAATGGGTCTGCGCAGGTATCCAAGTGTTTAACATATTTTTATTTTAATATTATTAATCATGTTATTGATAATATTTTTATTGATTATATGAAATTAATATTAATTTTAGGAGTGGAAAGTCATCAATACAAAAAGTAGTTTTTCATAAAATGTCACCAAATGAAACATTGTTTTTGGAAAGCACAAATAAAATTATTAAGGATGATATAAGCAACTCTAGTTTTGTTCAATTTCAAATTTGGGACTTTCCAGGACAAATTGACTTCTTTGATCCTACTTTTGATAGCGATATGATATTTGGTGGTTGTGGAGCACTAGTTTTTGTTATCGATGCTCAAGATGATTATATGGAAGCGCTTAATAAACTTCATTTGACAGTTACAAAAGCATACAAGGTTAATCAAGCGATAAAATTTGAAGTGTTTATACATAAAGTTGATGGTTTATCTGATGATTGTAAAATGGAAACACAAAGAGATATACACACTAGAGCAAATGATGATCTTGCAGATTCTGGTAAATAACACAAATGATTAAGAAGCTTTTTTATTAACAGCACTTAGAAATAATTATGTATACATTTCAGGATGTGACCAAATACATCTGAGTTTCCATTTAACATCCATATATGATCACAGTATATTTGAAGCATTTAGTAAAGTTGTACAAAAATTGATACCACAATTACCAACTTTAGAAAATTTACTTAATATACTCATATCAGTAAGAAAAAATATGAATATATAAATTTTTGTCACATAGTTGTACAAAATAAATTGTAATTTGTTTTTCAGAATTCTGCAATTGAAAAAGCATTTTTATTTGATGTAGTATCTAAAATTTATATTGCAACTGATAGTTCTCCTGTAGACATGCAAAGTTATGAACTTTGTTGTGATATGATTGATGTTGTTATTGATGTCTCTTGCATATATGGGTATGTTTTACAAAAATTTCTACATAAAAGCTTTTATCTATCTACATAATAGAAATAATTACATCGCATATTTACTTTAGTTTGAGGGAGGATTTAGAGGCTGCAGCATTTGATAATCAAAGCTCTAGCTTAATCAAGTTAAATAATGGAACAATTTTATATTTACGTGAAGTTAATAAATTCTTGGCTTTAGTCTGTATTTTGCGTGAAGACAATTTTGATAGACAAGGTAAAATAATGCTTCAGTAAATTTAGTACGAAATGGATAATAATAATTAGTAATCATTGAGCATATTATATTTAAAATCCTCTCTTTTTAATTTGTAGGTGTAATTGATTATAACTTTCTTTGCTTTCGTAAAGCTATACAACAGGTCTTTGAATTACGTAATAAAGCTTTAACTACTACAAATGTTAACAATCATTCAACACCACCTATTAATTTGAATGAAACTACAAATGCACCTACAGTATCGCAAAGTGGAACAATGGGACAAAATGGTACTGTTGTAATGGCACAAAGCTTTGGGCAGAGCAGAATTTTTCTTTAAATGTTTGAGCAGAGAAAATTTTTCACTTTTATTTTACATACTGGCAATAATATATCTCAATCATGTTATTCATAACTTAATTTTATAAATATTTACTTAATGTGAAAGATGTATTTATTTTATTGTTTCTTATCAATTTTTTTAATGATATTAAATTCAGGAAGTTACATAAATGTATATATAATTGTGTATTAAAATAAATTATTATCATCTATTAAAATAGTAATTCATATATTTTTATTAACTAATTATTATTATAAAAACTTACATTACTTTTTAATTGCTTATCATGAAATGACATAGAAGTATTAATTCTTAATAAACATCTATTTAAAATCTTATATTTATCAATATATTTTTTATAGCTTATACTTAAGCAACCTCGATTATAATTTATTTTTATCATAGTAATCTATTATTATTAATCAATAATTTGTTTCTAATTTATTGCCATTGATAAAATCTTCCATTTCACGATGTAAGGTATATGGAGATAAATTGACTGTAACAATACTTTCTTCTAATTGATACCAACGTATATATGAAAATGTTTGTTCGTATTCATTTAGAATAATATGATTTGGTAAAGAATTTTCAGAATTTACACTGAAAAATACAAGTTTTAAATTCTTAAACATTTTTAATAATATTTTTAAACCCTTCATCGTAACTTGATGGCATTTAAAAACAACCTTTTTCTTTATATACAAATGTAACAAATAATATTTCTTCAAATATCAAATTTCTTACCTGCTATTATACCAGTCTACTTTGTGTATAATCTTTGGAATTGGTATAGGCAAACCTGATGGTGGTAAATATTGATAAGCTATTTCAATTAGCAAACTGTGACTCAGATTACTAAATGGACACATAGTAACATTGTTCTTTATATAAATATCTTTTGTATTAATTTGATATTGTAACATTAATTCATCTGAAAGGAATTTAGGCATTGGCTAGAATTTTAGGATAGGAGGAACAAATTTATGAAGCAAATAAAAAAACTTAAAATAGATCTTTTATTCTACAGTATAAATTGATATACTTTTAATGTACAAATTATGTAACAGAACATATGATATTACAATTTTCATAAATATTTCAATAAAATTACATAAATTGTAATACATATTTTGAAATATTTAAGATTTGTGAAGTTATTAAAATCTTATTAAAAAGAATTTTAACACAATTACTTACAAAGTATTAGTAAGAGCAATGTATTGATAGTATTTTTGTTAATCAAAGATTTAGCACAAAATTTAGATTAAAAAGAAGATTTGTAATAATGCAATTTGTTATAATGTTATTTTCTATAGAATTATTATTGGATATAAAAAATTTGAAAATATTTTACTGTTGGGTATATGACATACTGCAATTAAATGCAGAGCTTAAGCCAGTCACTGTGAACAAAGCAATTTAAAAAAAGAAAATATTAAATGATTATCTAAATTAACTAATTACCATGCTAATATATCTTTTAGAGTTATTAGTAGTAAAACTTCATATTTTATCTTTTAATATTAAAACAATTTTATATAATAATTGTTAATAGATTTTCAGACTTACAATAATTTGCATCCTTATTCTGAACTGCATTATGTAGGGCTAAAGCAAGGTACGTGTGATATTTATTATAGCTGCTTTCTAACACATCTAATTCTTCACTGGCAAATGTTAATTTTTTATAATTCCATCGAACTCGGATATGATTACACATTTCAATTAACTGAAATAAATTTGTATATATTATGTAATTGTACGAACTACATTGTATTAAATAACAAAGTTTAATATGTATACATACATTATTTATTGTTGCCATTAAATCTTCGTACTCTGAAGTTAATAAACAATGTTCATGAACTTTTTTTAAATATTCATTATGAACTGTAATTAAAAAGAAAAAGAATTATATATATTAATCCTATATAACTGCGTATGTGTATTACAATTTTATTATAGTTATTATTTCATTAATATAATTGTACCTGATATGACTGTGTCCAAACTCTCAGCTTGTGTTAAAGATTTTTCTAACATAAGACTTAAATTTTGTAATACTTGACCTGACAAATAAGTATGTACTGAAGTAATTGCATGTAACAAGCAGAATCGTAAGCTTTCAATACGCCTTATATGAAACTGTTCTAATTTATTCCTTTTACACATTGATTTCGAACCTTCTAAATCTATAAAAACTATCTTTATTTATAATATTTTATTAAAAGCAAAAAAATCTTGTAATATGTTTTCTTACCGCTAAATCTTAAATTATTTAATGTCCATAAAGCCCATTTTAATTTTAACTGAAATCTAAATATTTCATTATATTTGATGAAGGTTTTCTCGTTTAATACAATATTTATAGGCCAGCCAATTGTATAATGCAATGTTATATTATCAACAGCCATTAATACTTGATTTGTATGAGTGCTAGAAACTGTAATAGACCAACGTGAACTTAAATCTGCCCACCATTGAGAAAGGACTTCTTCAAGTATACATGATAGAAAATATGAATTGTTCCACATTTGATTAGTTTCAATCTAGATAAAATAAATATAATGGAAATTTAATAATTTAAAGAATTACTAATGTTATATACTTTACCTCATGAAACAATCTTTGGTAAAATTTGTTCATAATATGACCTGCTTCCATCATATAGACAGATCTCATTAATGTTAAATGTGATTCCAATTTATATTCCTCACACATAATATTTTTGACTAATTTACTGGCACCATTATATCGTGAAATCAAAATTTCTGCTAAAATATTTTCTAATATTTTTCTGAATGGTAATATATAATTTGATTCTCTTTCAAGCCTAAAATATTATACTTTATACTTTAAAAGATACTTATGCAAGAAAATTCATTTGAAGTAGATAATAGAATTACCTTTTGAAAATATTAATTTCCATTTTGATATTTTGGATCTGGGGAACCTCAGCATCATCAGTATCACTTTTTTTTAACAATTCAGAAGGAAGATATTCTTCTAAAGCTTTTAATAAAAATGGATTATTAAACTCAGATAATTGTTTTATAATGTTTTTTTCCATATCCTCATCATACTCATTCTTAGTAACTTCTTTTTTCTGAGATGAAGATACTTTCTTTTCTTCTTTTTGTTCATCTGTACTATATTTAGAAATTTCTACTTCTAATTTGGCATAAAATTCATCCACCAAAGATCTCTTCAATTCTGAAGGATATATAAAATTAAAAGTAAAGTTATAATAGTAGGAAAGATAGGTAATTAAAATTATATCAATTACCATTTCCTCCAACATTAATCCTCCATATATCTGTAATTCGATCTAGAGATACTAACAATTCAATACTTTGTCCTATATGTTGTATCTTTCTTATCAAGAATTGCATGATTGGATCTCTTAAACATATATTATCCAAAGGTCTCAAAAACAATGTTTCATACTGTGTGCTACTTTCTGAAACTGCATTGCTTGATAACCTAATATGAATAAATAACTTATTATTTGTAATCATTTTATCATATATTTAAGTAATTTTACCTTGCAATTATAAATTCTTCCCTCCAATCTTCAAATCGTCCATCACTTAACCATGTATCAATTATATTTAAATAAACAGTAAGACTAGATAAATATAAACTAGTACAAATATTTGTTCTTTCTATATTGTGTGAGTTTTGTATTTCAAAATACAAAGATGATAGTAATTTAGATGCACACTTCCAATTTGGATGAAATTTCCAATTTGATACTGACCTTTTATGAACTTCATGTAAAATTTGTATACTATATAAATTTTTTTTAAGGATTGATGATAAAGACAGAAACGTTAAATTGACATCTAAAATCCAATATAAATACAAAATAGTAACTATAACAAAAATATTTATAAATCTATTAAATATAAAAAAACTTTTACCTTGTTTCATAAGAGATTTTTCTATAGCAATTATTTTCTTTCTAAATTTCATCAAATGTTGTCTCAGAATTGCATTGTAAGTTTCATATGTTAAAGGTGGCTTTTTACAAAAATCATCTTCCATGGAATACAATCTAATTCCAAATTGTTCTAAATCACGTATCATCGAAAAATACTTACAAAATGGTAAAAGAATACTATTAAATGCGGCCTGAAATACATTATTACTAATACTCCTAAATAATTAAAACTCATATATATATTAAATATATATTAATGCAGATTGTTTATTATATACTCACAGTAGTTAAACTAGGTATTGATATATCAGGACGAATAAAAAACCCTGTTTCTTCATTTTGTTGAAACACTACCATTTGCATTGGAGCATAGAACATCCATAACAATTCTCTGCATACTAGATATTCGCTAAGAGTTCCAAGTGTATAAAGATCTCTGCCATTTGCTTTATGCCTATATATGTAATATTAATATATTGGAAATATTTTGTATAAAATATGAAAAATATAATTTTCATAAGAATAATCACCAAATTTCACAAAGATGAGCATCAGAAAATCTGCTTTTAACTGGATATTTTCTCCAGTCTAACTCATTCCACCAAGTATTTTGAACATTTGATAATAACCAATTTTTAGATTTAAGTTCTTCATTTAAAGCTAAAGATAAGTTATTTAATTCTTTTTCAACAGATGGTATGCATATTGCTTTATTTGAATCTGAGATGTCTATTGGTATTTCAAAATTTGAACCTATATCCACATTATCTTCTGTATCATTAGACCATTCCTATTAAAAATTAAACATTTGCACGAATTCAAACATTTTATAAGTATTTTTCATTGATTAATCAAATATTACATGTAAAGGTAACTATTACTTACACTGTCTGTGTCACTTTTGTAATCATTGAAAAAGTTTTCTTGGCCTTCTTTTAAATATTCAGCCCAATCAATTTTTTCTGCTACCTCATTTTCATCTTCACCTGTTACATTGAAAGTATATTCTCCTCGTGTTAATGCCAAAGATTCCAAATCAGATTTACAGGTTTCTTTAGCTAATTCCAATAGCAATGTTAATAGATACCACTGCAGATCATACTGTGGATGCTGTTCAAAGTTAAAACTTGATAGAAATGCATCTACAAGTTCCTCAAACTTTTTTGCTACATCATATTTTCCATGGATCGAAAATTTTGTAATTAGAGCTTTAATAGCTTCTTTTGTACTGTTACTATTGACAGATAGATATCGATGATGTTTAATATTTGTCATACAGAATCGTTCACAAATTCGAAATCCTTCTTCATTTTCCTAGGCATAATATAAAAAATAATACACATATATTTATCAAAGTTTATGTCTATAATTCTAATTTATATACATATTTTTAAACATATATTTTCTTTTACCTCAAAAGATGTAATTGCTGTTATTAACTGCTTCATGTCATTGTGAATGTCATTTAATATTTTTGTACCCATTCTTGTTTAAAGAAAAGTAGAAAATTGAGGCAAAAGAATAATTTTGTGCTGAGAATAAAATATGAAGGTAAAAATAAAATAAAGATGAACAGTTATTTTGAAAAGAAAATAATTAAAAATCTAACCCTTTAAAGTGCTCTATGCTTAATTTCGTACATAAACAAAAAGATTATATCTTGAAATTTCATTTATATATAATTTTAGTTCCATAACAATTATATAAAAATACTCATTTCATTAAAACAACATCAATTTTTAATTTCTTCTAAAGCAAAATATACCCCGATTAAATGATATGTGCATGACACTTCCCAAATATTAGACTCCATTTTTAAATAGATACCGAAATTCTTATCCGTAAGTATCTGTAACGTAAATTAAATGAATGTAACAAAGATATGAAATTATTTCCTCTATAAAAATTCATTATCTTATTAGCACTATGAAAATAATTTTAAAATAAGCTTTCAACACAGTATTTCAACTCTTTTATTCAAAAAAAGAAATTAAAATACTGAATTATTTGTAATGTTTAGTATACCTGAGCATTTTTTTGTATTGCATTTTTCTGAAGGAAAGTTCGATAATAAAGTTATTAAATGAAAATTGTAAAATAGTCAAATAATTGAGTAAAATACATGAACAATATACAATTATTATACATTTTTTAGCATAATTTATTTAATAAAAACGTAAGCTAAAAAAGGATTACAATTAGTTAAGTATAAATGAGACAAAGATTTACATTCACATATACATATAAACATATTTCATATTATGTTTCTGTAATCATGATGGAAGACCTGACATAACCCAGCCAAACAATGAGATCTCAATCAACATAAGGATCGTAATACATTCTGTAAATATAAATTCATTTAACTGCATTTATTTTGGTCCCATATTAGGGAAAACCAAAAACGTCTTATGGAATGCATATTAACATTATGTATCATCAGCAACTATTTTAAGTTCACAACATTTCCATAAAAAAGTTTTTGTTTACATATTGAGTACATATTTTATCTTTACTATGATGTTTATCTGACTATCAGTTTAAAAATGTACACATAAATTAAGCATGATTTTGTTAAAGTGCATAGATTAAATTTTGTGAAAGTTCTCAATGGAAGAGTTGTTGACTATGCACTTATAATTTAACATATTAAACTACCTGCGAAATTTACTTCAGTTGAAAGAAAAAGATATTCATGATACTTTGATAATGATGTCATATTATCAATGTACATTAATATGTAGTTATGTCAACTGAGAATAATGTTATATAAAAATAAGTATCGAATTGTTTTACTAATACATGAATATGAAGGTGCATATGTTCCTGAGAAACACTAAGTTCTATAATTACAGTTCGTCTTTCTCATCGAGATCTATATCACTAAGATCGATATCTTCTTCTTGTGGAAGTTCAGCATCTTTGCCATCCCATGGTTTTGTTTCAAGAATTGTAGGTAACTGAGCTCCTTTTAAAGGAGCTGTACCTCCTCGACCGTAACTTAAGTCTCGTAAAAATTCATTTATACCATCATACGAAAAACTACCCTTTAATAAAGAGTATTTCATTTTCTTTATATTTACAGCTGCTAGTGCTGGATATCCGAATCCTCCAATTTCTAATGCCTCTTCAATATGAGGTTGAGCACCAGCTTCAGCCCACAGCCAGCTGTTAAAATATATTTATATATGTGCATTATATAATTTAAGATATTATTTATTCACCTTATTAGTAAGCAGTAAATAGAACTTACCCCCACATTTTTTGTTTATATTTTTCTCCGAGGTCATTTAAAACTTTTAAATATCCATTTCTACAATCTGATTGACAATCTAAAATATGCGGTAAAACGGATACAACACATAATGGTTTGTCCTCACAGACTTCTCTTAAAGTCTTTTCATTTATAATTTGAACTACTTCTGGTGCTGGAACATTTTCTGCTACTTTTTCTAGTGACCAATTTACTATATCACTACTTGTGCGACCACCATCATATTCTTGCACAGAATCGAAAGATTTCTTCCCAGGTGCAAAATATTTGATAGTAGGATATCCTTTTATTTCATATTGGCTAGCCTGGCAACATTATGATTTGATTATATTTATATTAACTTAAAAATACAAATAAATCATATACTTATAAATAAAAGTTAATTAAAAATAATTACTTACTTTAACTCTATTTACAGTAGCATCAATGGCTCCCAATTTCACTTTACCTTTAAGTTCTGTTGCTGCAGATGCCCAAATAGGGGCTAAATTTTTACAATGACCACACCATGGTGCATAAAACTCAACTAACCACATATCTTCCGAATTCATTACCATCTTATCAAAGTTATCGTCAGTTAATTCAATTACATCCTTGGAATCTTTGGACTATAATATTAATAAAAGATTTTCAATTATTAATTACCTACTTTTTCCTTATCTTTTATTGTACCTATATTTCATTACATTGACATTACATTTACCTTAGAATCTCCGCCACTCCTTTTACCTCCTAAAGCTCTACGTGCTTTTTGACTAGCCGCATTTAAAGCAGCATCAACAATTCCTGTCGCAGTTCTTGGCCCATTATAATCTTCTGGTTTATTATCTGTACCAAAGATTTTGATTGTTGGAAAACCTTGAATTCCATATCTTGATCCAAGGGATTTATGTTCATCTGCATTTACTGCACCGACTTTTACAATACCCTGTGGAATTTTATATTAAAAGCCTCTGATAGGACTAAGGTATAAAATAAATAATATGTTAGATATAAAACATAAAAATTACTTTTAAAGCAGTTGCAGCTTTGTCATATTCAGGTGTTAACTGTTGACAATGTCCACACCATGGTGCAAAGAATTCTACAATCCATACATTATCGCTATTTAATACCAAACTATCAAAATTGTTTGGTTTTAGTTCAATAACATCTGAATTGGAGGAGTACAAACAATGTGCTCCAGTAATTAGTAGCAAAATACCTAAACAAAGCAAATATAAAACGATATTGAATTACACATAAATAATATAGAAATAAGTGTTAAAATATTCATAAAATTAGAGTTTTAAAAAATGAATATTCAGTGAATAAAAATACATTATAATGGTAAGATACACCTACCGGTAAGATTTAATAGTAATAAGTCGTGAAATCTACAATATACATTGGTTTGTAAAACTCACCTAAAAAGTCTTGCATTTTGCTTAACGAACTAACGTGAACTGATGTGTTTGTAATTATTTTGAAAAAATCATTCAGTGAAGAAATCTTTCACATAAAAGATTGAAACGAACACAATTTTTTCTTGTAAAATTCAATCCGTCTCTCTGTTTCCCCACTCTTTATAACCAGATACAATTTTTCGTGGATCGTTCTGATTGGTTGCTTGTAATCAACAAGCACTTGCCACAAAGGAAATAATTGTAGAAAGATTGTTATTCTGAAATCAGTCGTTTCAATTGGAGTGACCAAAATTGGATTGTTGCTTCGCTTCGTAAATGAAAATATTATTCTATGTCATATTATGTTATAGAAATAAAACATTGTTACAAATTTTATTCGAAACTAAAATAATGTACAGAATACAAATACATGTAGGCGGCTGTTTAGACAAACATATATAATGCATAGAAGCGTAGGTTGAATCAGTTACATTTACTAGATTTGATTGATTTTCATTAACAATTCTTTGATAGTTCTATTTAAAATTGTATAAGATTTCCGACAGTTAAAGTCCTAATTTAAGTCTTGAATAATTCAAGAATTCGCCTTATAGGTCGAGAAATTTGATCTTTTAATTTCATCATAAAGGGATTAATTCCATCTTTCGACCATTAGAATTGGTTATAGTTTTTCATTGCCTGCCAATTGGACGATTTTTTAAATATGCTTATACCCAAGAAATTCAGGGGAGTATCTAGATAGAATCAGATAGAAAGTTTTCTCTCTGATAAAACTAATCTTAATTAATTCCTTACGTTCTAAAATTTCATTTAAGCCCTCGAAAATTAAAAAAGTCTTCCCAGGAACCGAAAAATTTGGACTTTTTAATTTTGCCGTTTGTCGATTGAACATAAATATTAATATATGTATAATTCAAACGCAAATAGCGCAAGATTAAATAATAGAAACGATATGATTATTAAGGTCGGTGAATTTAATTTGTCGTGCCTTATAAAAATATCGAAAAATAAATATATGATTGTATCTAAAATGGTGATAATGACTTTGAAATTTCGCAAAGAAATAATCATGAAAAAGATCATTTTCATCGTTGTACGTAGCCCTTGAAATACATTAACTTTGTTTTGAGAAGTTTTTTCGTATTACAATGAATAAGGCAGATATTTAGATGATCCCATTTAGCTAGACCATTCTGTGTATGCTTCAACTTTAAGTTTAATTTTAGATTCTAGAGGATTTTATTACATTTTACTACTACATGCGAATATATGTGTATGCATGCATCTATGAAAATAAATATAAAAACCAATTAAATACTTCATCTATTTTCATGGTATATTACATAATTGGCGCCATAATCTAGTATGCCGTAGTGGCGTTAACTGTTATCTTATCACTATCACTGAAGGGTAAAAGTTCCGTACATAAAATATTCTTTAAAAAAATGAATTGATATATCAGTTTGAAATTTTAATAATTCAATTATACAAAGTGCTATTAATTAGAAGAATTTTAAACAATTCATTGAAAAATGTCGCAAAATCAGTATAAAGATGTTACACATTGTATTTTTGATATGGATGGGTTATTACTCAGTAAGTGATTTGTACTGTCATATCTTTTATGAAGTTACATAATATTCCTATAAAGAATTAATTATAGAGACTCGATTAAAAAAAAAAAACTGTACTTAATATAACTAATAGAAATGGATTTTTAACATTGCTATTACTTTATGAGGTCAGCGCTCTTATGAGTTTTACATAAAAACTTAACCTGTAGATAAGTGATTGTATTTGTTTACATGAATATAGTAATTTTGTTTTGTCTATGTACGTGTAGTAATGAATAAAATCACAATGGCAATTATTAAGAAATATGAGGGATATAAATTAAAATACACCATGCATCTGTATGAGCGGATTTTACTGTCAAAGAAAGGGTTTAAATAGCACTCATTATAGCGTGAGTTTGTATGTGCTTTACTTCTAATTTTTAAGAAGCTGTGTTAGAATTTTGTACATACATACTTGCGGACATGTACAAACATTTCTGTTGAACAATTTTTCATTTGTCATAATATTGAGAAACTACTTTTCAACACAGTTTCTACAAATTAACATTTCAATTATGAATCATAGTTTAAATCAGTAAGTTAAATAAATCTTACATAGAGTACATCAATTTATATAAGTAATCTTGTATTAAAATCTTAATAGATACAGAACTAATTTACACCAAAGCCTTTAATCATATTACAAATCGCTATGGAAAGGAATTCACATGGGAACATAAAGCAAAAACTATGGGTTTTAAAACGAAGGATGTTGCACAAGCTGTTGTTGAAATGTTATCATTACCAATAACAGCAGAAGAGTTTGAAAATGAGGTAGTCAAACTATATCAGGAATTATTTCCATCTGCAAACATGATGCCAGGTAATATATAAGGGTTTTAAAAAATAAGAATCTAAAATTTTAAGAAATTTATAGTTTCCATTCAGAAGTGTAAAAAATGCATAGTCAGTATTAAAAATAAAATTGATTTTCGCGAAGCTAAATGAATAAATATATATAGTAACAACATAGTATAACACATAGTACAGCATATATTATTTGAAAGCAGGTGCTGAACGATTATTGAAACATCTGAAACAAAATAATATCCCAATAGCATTAGCTACAAGTTCTAATAAAGAAAATTTTGAATTAAAAACTCAAAGATGGAAACATATATTTGATTTATTTAGCCACAAAGTTCTTGGTGGTTCTGATTCTGAAGTTACTAATGGTAAACCAGCACCTGATATTTTTTTGATTGCTGCAAAACGTTTTTCTGATAATCCTGACCCCTCAAAGGTTTGTTAGGATTTGTATTTTTTACATTTTAGATTTATTTTATAATTATTAATAAATTGAATGTTATACTTTTAGTGTCTTGTGTTCGAGGATGCTCCAAATGGTGTAAAGGCTGCACTTAATGCTGGAATGCAAGTTGTTATGGTTCCAGATCCAATGTTACCAAAAAATTATATCAAAAATCCAACATTGATGCTAAACAGTCTTGAAAAATTTCAACCTGAATTATTTGGTTTACCACCATATAGTGTATAATGTCTGAAATGTATTCCTGTATATGATTTGAATATACAGTGGCAAACAATTACTTATAAACACACTCCATAAAATTTGTATTGTTTTTAATGTCATATAGGAAAGAAACAAATTAATTTTCCTTGTGATTTTTTGAAAACATAACTACATCTTCCTCCTTACAGACACATGCTTACAAACAATATTATTTCAATCCATTGTACATAGGTATTTATGTTTTATTATAGTAATAGGGATTAAAAAAGAAAAAAATTAATAGATTAACGTCCTAATAGATATACTGATACTGTAATATTAATAAATATGTGTAAAAGAAAACAGAAAATAATAAATTATATATTCGTTAAAAATATTATGTTGTTAATTTATCTTCATAATGTATTTTTAATGTAAATGCACGAAAACAAGTTATTGTTAAATATACATTTTTATATATAAAGATTATTATTTAAAATTGTTTCAAATTGTATATTGTGTAACACTTGTAGTGATTTTAGGATAAGGCATTAATAATATAATGTACTAGCTAGAGCATATATATCATAAACTTTCAACAATAATTGCATATAAATAGCAAACAGTGAAAAACAATGAATGCTAGAAATTATTTTGCTCCTATTAGTGCTATCTACCTATCTATTGTTTCTATGGAGTACAATCAGAAAATAAATTGATTATATTGCTATTTTAATATTTCATGTCTTTTATTTTTACATATAATAATATCAAAAATATTTACATTATAATTTTTGTAAGAAAGAATAGGAAAATAACATTAAGATATTAAAAAAACGTTCAATTTAATGAAATATACTTACAGGAACAAATCTATTCATTATCTATTAAATTGTTTACTGAAACAGCAAAAATTAAAATTTATATGTTCAGTTTTTGTATTTGGTAATTAATTACAAATATTTTTAATTTATATTGTTATATAGTAATAAATTATATAACAATACTTTTTCTAATATATATTACCTACCATTTCTTCATTATCTAACCCATCTGATATTTCTAAAGTACCTGCACATAAACTCGATATTTCTTCTTGTTCATCATTGTTTGAAAAGATTGTGTCCAAACATACAACAGAAAATGCATTTCGCCTTAACATTTTTTCTACTGCCTCTTTCAGAGAATCATAAGCTTCTCTCATACCTTGCGGGTATTGAGATAACAAACCTAACAATAAATTCATTTAGAATCAACTGTTAGATAATTTTCTGAGATCTTATTTAAAAAAGAAAAGAAAGTGAAGATAGTTACTTTTATACTTTGACTGATTCACATCAAAAAGGTGCAGATAAAAACACAGTTGATTATACAGTTTTGTATCTGTAAACTTTAAATAAATATAAATAATATATAAAGTATCCAAAATATTTGGAAACAGTGATATATCTTTTAACTTACGACTCTATGTAAATCACCATCATTACATTTCCTACAAATTGGATATAGTGACTCGAAATCTAATGGTATCCATTGTGTTTGATCACCACATAATGGATTTTCACATTCTAAACATCCGTTATAATACTCGTTAACTAATTCTCGTATAGAAAGTGTCACTACATTTTGTATTGTATTAGCATATGTCCATGGTTGTACTTTACATTCTGAATTTGAACAGGAAGCAAGCGACAATCGATTTCCAAGCTATGTAATTTTTCAACATGTAGTAAATAAATAGAAAGATATGTATAGGAAAAAAAACTTATTTTTTATAATTGATTTCTTACCTCTTCATTTACAACATCTTTAATTATAATTTCTGACTGACATTTTTCGCTTCTACAATTAAACTTCAAAGGGAGACAATACCTAAATCTATCTTCTTCCATTAATAATGGTATATCAGCATGTTCTTGATGTATTATTCTTCTAGATTTATAAATGTTTTCCAAGCCTATGAAAACGAATTTGATTTATATAATACAGATCTATATTATAAAATTTATATAAAATAAAATTTAAATAAAATAATGTATATAAAATTGATGTCAAGTAAAATTGTACCTAAACATTTAGCTAACAAAACATCATCAATTCCTTCAATTGGTTCGCAAATTCGCAAAACGATAGGGAAAATTTGACTCAGTAAATAGTAATTAACATCTATTTTTAAAGAATCACTCTTTTTATATTCATCAATATGATATGCTCTTTCAGTTGCAGATTTTTCTGTTCCATCCTAACATACAGAAAAATGACTATATGTTTAATAGTGTTTATAAAAATAATATATAAATATTAAATAGTAGTGAAATCGACAAACACAAACATCACATATAATATAAGGGATGGTGTCTCCAGCTTTCCACATTCTACCACCTTCTTTATTTAATCTTAAAGCTACTTGGACATGAACTTGTTTAGTATCCGGATATTCATTTGGATTTTTTGATAACTGTTTCGTAATAATTAAAGAAGATAAAGGAACTTGATTTTCTCGAACATTTTGTGCAACATCATGTAATATACTAAAAATTTGTTCTATTCTATCGTCACATGATTTATCAGAAAGAAGATGGTCCAAAATTTTTCTAAAAACGATCATTGTTATAAACATTATTAGATATAACATAATATTTTAGTCTATATAACATAATATTAATAATCTACCTATATTTTGCTTACCTTCCAACATCACAAGCTAATTGACACCAATCTCTTCTCACAATATCAAGACCTTTATGTTCTTGTGTTAACTCTATTTGCCCATTAGGTAATTTTGTCATTATAACTGCAGCATACTTTTTCTTTTGTAAAAGTAATAAATAACGGAAAACACCATCAATATCTAATTCTACTCGTTTATATAATTTATTCACCTCTTGTTTAATCTACACATAGTTTCTATTAGTATTATTTTTCGGATACAAAATAAATAAAAAGAATATTTTTGATATAATATGTACCTTTTTTCCAACAGAAAACACTTCTTCATATTCTAATAAACCTGTATTTATCATTATGGAATCAGTATCTCCATATATAACTTCATAATTCAACTTTTCAACAAGGCTTTTTGTATGTTGCAAAATTTCTCGACCTTTTGCTACAATAATATTCAATATTTTATACATACATTTACAAATAAAATTCTATACTTTACCTGTAACCAAGGCAGCAAGTCCTTTAGCATAAAATCTACAATGAGTTGCACCCAAACAACCATACATAGAATTTGCTGTAAGTTTCAAAGCCAGTTGTCTAATATTGTATTGCATCTTTAATTCAGGTGAAATATTTGGGGTTTTCATCAGTTTTTTCACCTCTCCTCTACTTTCAACTAATTTGCAAATTTCAGTTGGAATTATTCCAAATTCTAAATTTGATTCAGGAATTGATAAATCCTACATACATGTTTATAAATAAAGTTAAAAGTATTAATTAATTTTTAATCCATAATAATAAATAAATTTACCTCGTACTCAGCATATGCAGCTCCAGGTATAGTAGTAAAACATAAATTATATTCCTGAATTATACTAGGATATAAAGAATTAAAATCCATTAATAAAATAAGTTTATCATAAAACCCCTTTTTTGGATCAAGAACTAAGCCACCAACATAAGCCGCTTTCTTTTTACTAGTATTTTCTACATATAGAACAATATTAATGATAAATATATTATGAAGTAGCAACTGCTCATATATTTAAAAAATATACTATTACCTTCATTCTTTCCTTTTTTCGTAACACGTTTATCAGGTGTTATATAGTTTTTCAAATGGAATGCATGCAATAATAAATATTCATTTCTTTCTGCACGTCCTGCTGTTAATGTTCTCGACATAACATTCCCTACATGAATAAAATAAATATATATTAATTGAAAGATCTATGTTATTTGAAACGTTTATATATACTTACCAGCAATACATGTAATTTGTAAAGCAAGTGGGAGAACATTAAGTTCAAAAACAATAGATAAAATGTATAATGCTTCTGTTAATGTTATTTTAATTAAATTATCTATTTTATTAGGAGTATCATAAAATGATGCGCATTCACCAGATTTTATTTCCTTACATTCATTTTCTTTTTTCTTCAATACCTGTTAGAATAATTAGGATTTCACTTTTCTAGTTATGAACGTCGCACATATAAATAATTATTAAATATTTTTACCGCTGTGCAAAGAGATTGCAAATCATAACTTCTAAGTTTGAGATTTAATTCTTTAGCTGAAATTTGTATGTCACAGATAGGTCGACCAGCTGCTGCTTGATTTAAATTTACTTTTCCCTAAAATATTTTTACTTCTTTATGATCAACACAGTGTTCATTATAAATGTGTATGACTATATTTCATACCCTTATTAAAGGAGGTATAGACCGTCTTAACCTTCCAAACCTGCTCCAATTTGAAACTTTCAATGTAATCATTCTTTGCATTAAGATATCAAATTGGAAGCCACAATCATACCCAATCAATAAATCAGGATCTGCAGTATTTATTATTTTTAACAGTTCTTCGAGTAAATCTGTTTCTGTTTCAAATTTCATTAATGTAGTATATGAAATATTTGAGAGCACTTCTCGTGCTTGTCTTGGCCAAGATGTATCACGTGGATGTGTAATCACTACATGAAATAATGTTAAAATATATCAAATACTGAAAAAATACACATTTGAAATAATAATTTAATAAACAATCATACAACAAAAATGTCGTTGAAATGGTGGTTTTGGTGGTTCTTTATCAATATGATATTTATGATGCATAAGTATTGTAATCATAACTATTTCATTCTGTTGTAATTTTGCATTGAAAGATGTTCGTATATTTAGTGTTGTTATTACTAATGGTGGTAATGTTTGAGACTCAGAGAAAACAGATATATTCTCCATCTTCATGCAATTTACCTATTCAGTTATAACATAATTGAGTTAATATGTTATTATATTATATGTTAATTGAGTTAATTAGTTAATATGTATATTTACTGGTCATAAATTTGATTAATAAATGAAACTGATATACCTTTATTTTACACCAACTGGTTTGTACACCAGTAGGTAATGGAGACTTAATATCTAACCAACATGGTCCCTTAATATTTCTTTCAATTAGAAATAGCTCTAAAGAATTTACTGTTGTTCCAAAAACACTTTCTATTGATGGTCCAGAGTAATCAGAGGGAACAGGTGGGTAGTTTGCAGAATATCTTACTTCTAAGTAATCAGACTTTGCTGGAGTACCTTCTTGTTCAAAAGCATAATTTTTTGAGACTTTGCAGCTACGAAATTCCTTTATTCCTAACTTATTTGCAAATTGATTAAATTCTTTATACACATCTTCTATTGTATTTAATTGTTCCTCATCATCATTTCCTTTCAACGATGTTTTTACCTAAAATTTACATTCCTATAATTATTTTATTAAAGCTAAAGAAGAAAAATTATCAATATATAATAGATGATATATAAAAATTGTTAATAATATAATAATAATAGATATTATATATAAATATATTTTAAAATATGCTTGAGTACTCATACATATACTCTAGGAAGAAGATAAATTCTTCGTGGAATATTCTTTACTGTTAAACAGCAAGAACGGTATTCTTTTATCGAGGGCACAAAAACTTTTCCAAATAAATATACAACTCCAGGTTGTTTATATGGATCTTCATATGCATCCCACCAATAAAATCTAAATACTTCTTCCTTGTTTGCATTGGTTACAAGTGGTAAAGGCACTTCTGTAGTATCAGTAGGCATTTCAATATTTGATATTTGTGTTTCAAACTCAATATCTAATGATTTATTAAAATTTTCTAAATCAAAGTTTTCTTCTTCAGCATCTTTATTTTTCATTTGAATGGTTGATTTATTTTTTATAAATTCTTTATTAATAGATGGCTTTGGCTTTTCATTGTGATCTATACTGTCATCTTCAAAATCTGCAGAGAACTGTAATAAGCAGAATGTAGTCCAAGTATCATTTCAAAATATTATTAACTAATAAAACTTACATCTTCAAGATTTTCACTTTCTGTTTCAATTACTTGACTGATGCTTGTTTCTTTAAGATCTTTTTCTGATTGCATACTCAATATTCTAACTTCTGAATTATCAGAATCATCTATAATTGTTTGACTGCTATTTTCATTTGAAGTAAAGTTTTCTATTTGGGTAATTGATTCTGCTTGTTTATGCATTTTTACCTTTTCTGGTTTATCAAATATTACTAAATCATCATCATCATCACATTGCATTTTCTCATACCCAGAAATTAATTCTATCTTTTTTTCTACATTTCTAAGAAACCATAATATTATTGTAAAAGTAATACTAAATATATTAAAACACAAATGTCAAATGTATAGAAAAGTTAATTACTTTTCACTTAATTTTGGTGTAGTACAAAATTTGTTCCTCAAAACTGTTTTTGGTTTTGACTGCGTCGGGATATCATCTTTTTTTAGTTCAGACATTAAATCTCCTAAAATACTATCATCGTCCAATTTAGCATCCGTTTTCCTTTTAGACGACATATTCATTAACATATTTTGAATGTTTCCTTTCTTTTTGGCATGATCTTTCTTGCTTTTTCTAGGGCCTGCAACTTTATGCTTTCTTGCTTCTTGTATGCTTTCATCATCTAAATCGTCATCAAAAATTTCTCTACCATCTTCAATATAACCACTTTCTCCTTTTATAACAAATAATTATTTTGTAATACTTATTCTTACTTCTAATAAAAACAATAATTTTGAAGTTATTACCATCATCAATAATCCAATCATCATTTTGCCTTTCTATTACAGTTTTGCTATATTCTTTTTCATCGACTTCCTCATAAACATTTTCCAATTCATCAACTTCATATTTATGTTTACTACCTTTTAATTGTTTCAATTTTTCTAAAGCTGACAACCGTCCAGTTTTATCAAACTTCTGGCGTTTAGCTCTGCCTGCTGAATCCATAGATAATACAATTTGATAAACATTTATAAATTCAAATTTTATATCAAAATTCAATTCAAAATTTTTCTCATCTTTAATTATTACAAGAATATCTTAAAGTAATGAACCTACCGTATTCAATAAACATTTGAAAACGGAACAAAATATTCTTGAATTTAATTAAATAGATAAACAATAAACGCAACGAAATGTAAGTAAAATTTTAAAATTAAGAAATAGAATTCGTAAAGAATTAAAATATTATAAGACTTACATTGTGTGTCACTCATATTTTCCAAAAATAAATTGTTAAATCAGAATGTAAAAAATATCATAAATAGCTAATACTGCAGGAAACAAAATTAAAAAACATTCACACATAGAAGAAAATCAGAGCACTTGATTAAGGTTTTAATGGCAGATACATTTAGTCATTTTGGCGGGAGTTTTATTGAAATCGATAACTTTCTAATTATCGATTACTCTCGATTGGTACAATTGTAACTTTTGTACATGAAACACATTACCAACTTCGTGCAAAGAGTTTGTGTTCAACGATCGAAAAGTTGCAGACAGGTAATTATTCAAGCATTTAAGAAAAGTATTTTTTGCATGTATAATTTATTGTAACAGTTACTATTAATAAATGTAATTTATGGTGCACAATTATTTTTATTCTGTTACCGTTATGGAAAATTTAAATCGTATAGTTTTTGTGTCGTCATTGTATTGTCTCATACTGTACTGTGAAATTGTTAAAAACATGTAATTTGTTACAATAATCATTAGATTATTTCGTTTATCAATTAATTAACAAAGATAGGAAGTTCTCTTACTTTTGTTTCGCTTAATAAAGTATAAATAATTGTATTGAATAAGAAAGAAGTCTTTTCTCCATTTATTACGTTTTATTTTTAATCTCCTAAAATAAAGATATAAAATACCATGACTTATTTATGTAATATTTTACAAGTCAATGTAACAAATTTAGTAAAAAATATAAAAAGTACAGATCTGAATTTTGTTTTTAATTATTTTAGTTATAATGTCAAAAGCACATAGTCCTACTGTTTTTAATGGAGAGGCTGACAATTTTTATGACCCAAATTTTACTTTGGACATTAACAAAAGGATGCGTGTACCAAAAAGTATTCGTGTGAGTGGCGACTACACAGATGAAGAAATAGCTGATACCAATGGTTCTAGCTGGAATCAGATTGTTGCAGGAGATAAATTTGAAATGCATGTTCCAGACAGAATTTTAGTTGTTGGTAAATATATAATCTTCTGTTTATTAATAAATTTATATGTTAATTGTTATATCACAAAGTTAATTTTTTTATTAAAAATATATTTTACAAAATCATTAATTATACATAAGTAAGGTGAAACTTGTTAATGCTAGATATAATTAAATAAATCTAGGACAAGAACAACATGTTGGAACTAGAGCACCACCAAGAGAAATTACATTAGAAAATGCTGTTTTACCACCTGAAGCAGGCATGGTTAGAGTGCAGGTAAATATTTAAGATTATTAAATGAATTTAAATATATACTTTAGAGATTTATTCTTAAATATGATTTAATCAGCAAAGATTTTCTCATATTTTTTTAAGGTTTAGCATTTTCCCATATTAGAATTTAATATCTACAATTTTCTTACTATATTGATAGACTCCACCAAGGATTTTGACACTGGATGACCATTATTTTCCGGCAGTTGATGAAGAAGAACCAAATTCATACCCAACAGAAACTAAGGATTCATTATCATCTAAATCACATGGACAATATTCTACAGAAACACAAATAGTTAGGTATGCTAGGTAATAACTAATACTTTTCAATTCATATATATAAAATTATATATACAAAGTGGACCAATAACTGATCATATGAAAATATGAAGAAACTTGTATGTAGTATGAGGAGAGTCATAATGTATTAGTAGCATTTCTTTCTTTTTCTCCATTCTTGGTGGAATGTTTTTACAGATTTCGAAGATAGTTCTACTTTTCTCACACTGTATAATTTTATTTTTAGTAAAATAATAGAGATCTCAATAATTTCAAGTATATATAATATAAGATCATTTGATATAAAAAAAAGAGTAGAATGACAAAACTTTACATTATAAGAGATGTCCCAAATATGTTTGCACTGACGTAACGTGGCAATCGTCGATTTCATAAAACTTTCGATTTGGTAGCATATGAAATAATTAACGTTATTGGTCCACTTTATAAATATATTACTTTTTTCTTAAGAATATATAATTATTTTTCTAGAGAACAGACACCCTCATATAGTGCACTTAATGTTTCTCTTCCACCTAGTGAAGAGATACAACATTTACGTCGACAAGTAGGGAAATTAAATCGTCGAGTAATGGCAATCGAACTTGAGATGTTGCAACGTCAACAAAGAGAAAAAATTTTATATGCGTTAACATTAACGTATTTAATTCTTAAAGCTTTTTCATGGTTGACCAGAAACTGAATTTATGTTAAGAAAATACAAAATATTTGTATCTTGTGTGAAAAAATGGAGCTCTTTATCCATATAAATACAAGATATTCTGGAAGAGTCTCCTTTGCTCCTAGAAGACATTTGTAACCAAAGACTCTTTATCTTGAATATGAAATTACAACATATTCAAAGTAAACGTATGTATCGTATATATTCAAAAGTAAGTTACTCCTGATACTTGCATGAAAGTACTATAATTAAACTTTTAAATATCTTATAAAATTCAATGTTTGTTATATTTATATCATTCTTTTTTATTGTTTACTATGAATTGAAACTCTTTCTTACTTAATATATGTAAGAAAATTGAATATATACGATACTAATCTTTTTAAAGTAATTGAATTTGAATTTGAGTATGTTTGTAAAAAGTAATTTGCATGATCAAATAAGCAGAACATGATTCCTTTTGATCTATTAAAGAATCCATTTTACACGAATAATTGTAATTGTTTAAAAGTGATAAGCTATAAACAAATATCAGGCTTAATTACAGTATGTGACAGATAATTGTAAATTTGTAAAAGTATGGAAAATGATGTTATGAGATTCTAGGTATTGAAATTGAAATTTTGATTTCTATTTCCTCATTTACTGTAGTTTAATTATATATATAGTTTAAAATATTATATTATAGCACAATACATTGATAAAATTATAATTAATTGTTATGAATACTTAATTTAATTCTAGGTTCGACGTATTTTTTGTGGCCATGATATTCACACCATTGTACATTTATAACATACATAACATGTTATTAATGAAAAATAAATAAATAATAAACTTGTAATAATTTTCTTTTATTAATACACGTGCTACAAATTTATTGCAACTATCATAGTTTACATCTTTAAAGATTTTTTATATGCTGTAATATAAACCTTGGCTTTTAAGATATTGTTAAATTCATAGCAAATTTAGCATCTGAAATTTTTAAATATATTAAAGTTTGACATCAATTTCTTTTTATTTACATCAACAAAAAAAGTTTTTTAAAGTATCTATTTTCAATTTATCCACCAAATGAGAAGCTAATCCATATTTTCAGTAGATATCTATCAATATATGATATAATAAATGAATGTATCAAAATGCATAAATAAAATGATAATATTATATTATTTCTTGCATTATTTATTTATTATTCATTACAAAATGTCACTAACTATATTGCATTATCGTATAACAAATTACACAACAATTAAATTGTTATTATCATTATTACTAATATATCACAATTTAAATTTTAACCTTATATACAAAATGTTACATTTTTCTATGTTCAGATATCAATTACTAAATATAACTTCAATCAAATTTGTTAATAAATCAAAACAAAAAGATTTGAAGATTGATTGATATTTTCATAAATATGTTACGGTAGTCCTTTTTGGCATTATATATAATTAAAAACATCATACACTTCTAAATCCATATTATAAAAAATCAATGTTTTATTATATTTTATTATGTACTAAAAAATAAAAATTAGACATTATTTTAACATTATTTATTCTTACTTAATAATGCTTTCGATATTATATTAATGCATTATATATAATATAATTATTATAGGAAAAAATTACTAAACTGTTTGTATATATTCTATATTAGATTTTCATAGTCATAGAAACAATAAATGAAATTTGTATTAAAATTTATACATGAAATTTTTCCTATATGATGTATACAAATATTATATCGCATCATATCATATATTGTGTGAATTAATTCTGTATTACACAATGTGTACGAACTAAATTCATCAAAACACGACCATACTCAACATTGAGTCTCTAGTTTCTAGCTCTAATCATCAGTAGAAAACTAGTAAATACGAAGATAAAAAGGAAATTTTCATACTGTGCAATAACATTAATATATCTGTAAGATACATATAAAAATAACAGGAACAACATATTTTTTAATTTAATCTATCTAATCCAATCATATCGGACTATAGGATAACACACGTTCGACGGAATAATCGTATAGGGACCTTATTGTTGCGAATGTTAGACAATCTGTTAATACATACGAGAGGTCAGTGTACGTCACGTAGTTATTATTCAGAGTTGAGGATTTTGTGGAAATTTATCTGTCTGGAAGTGTAACGAAAAAAGATTCCTGAGACTCTCTCGCGGCAAGACATTACGGGAAAATAACGCGGAGGTCTCAGGTTCAGCGAATTTCATAGTTTGAAGACTTCCCGTAAGAAAGAAGTGTCCGCGGTACATCGAGTGCTATAACGCTGGTCGCATGTAATTGTGGTATTGCGTTTGAAAAACTTTATTTTATTAAAGGCACAGCCGTCTATTTGGCGTCTGTGAAGAGAGGACAAGAGTGTGTGATAGGTTATGTCAACTGGATTGGCAGGTGCTGTTTCAAATCAGGTCAGTGTGTTGACTTGCTACCACACCGCTGTACTGCAGATACCTTTCACTGAAGACAGCCATTCTAAATTTTGTATATTTTTCCATGCAACGGAATGCAGCGGATGAAAGGACAAACTAACAGTCAAGGTGAGACTTTGTATTCTCCTACGATTTTTTCTTTTTTTCATTATTTCTTTCGGTGATGTGTAATTCTAAAAACAGACGAACTGTTCATTATAAAAATTATTGCATGCGTGCATAGATTTTTGTACTCCAAATAGTATAATTACTCCGAGTTTGTGTCTATTGTGTGCAATTTTATCAATGCCTGTCGGTATCACGGTAAGTTAATGCACGCAATTTTTTTTAAACTAATACGAAGTGTTGTTATCTATATTTTTAGCCGATCTTTATATAGGTATATATACATAGTGCATTAACCTATCTGTATGCTTTAGTATATATCGGATATGTTAGGTTATCAATAGCATTATTTCATAGCATTTTTTTTAATGAATTCAGAATCGTGTTCGCTTATATATGTGTGTGTGTGTGTGTGTGTATATATATATATATATATATATATATATATATATATATATATATATATATATATATATATATATATATATATATATATATATATATATATATATATATATATATATATATATATATATATATATATATATATATATATATATATATATATATATATATATATATATATATATATATATATATATATATATATATATATATATATATATATATATATATATATATATATATATATATATATATATATATATATATATATATATATATATATATATATATATATATATATATATATATATATATATATATATATATATATATATATATATATATATATATATATATATATATATATATATATATATATATATATATATATATATATATATATATATATATATATATATATATATATATATATATATATATATATATATATATATATATATATATATATATATATATATATATATATATATATATATATATATATATATATATATATATATATATAAATAATCGGATAATTTGAAATATTCATAAAAATCTTAAAAGATAATACGTTCATATATCGGCTACGTCATACAGTTAAATTATTAAAAATATTACATAATTTAGTAAAAAAACCAAAGTCATTTATTTATATCGATTTGTTAATATTATGAAATATCTTATACAAGATATAATCATTAAACCAGAGTAACCTACTATTTTGTGTATTATAATTAATATTTCACTGTATTCAAAATTCGATTTCTATACAAAATCTTGTAACAGGGTGTCATTTCTAATTATTCATTATTGAAATTATGTTTTGTACTAGAAGATAAAATAAAGCCTTTTTTATGTGTTTTGTAACACATGTAGTTTTTACCAATTTTAATATGTTGAAATTTTCAATATAGAATTGTTTATAGCAATTACTTGGAAAAATTTCTCGAAATTAAGAAATTAAAAAAATTTTGCTAAAAGACAATTTCTTAATTTTTAATAGTAATGTGTAGTTATTGTGCCATATATTCTATATGATTTTAAATTCTGAATCATAGGAATATTTTGTTTTATAATTGATATTTTGTTGATAGTATTTGATTATTAAATAGAAATATTTCTAACAATATACTGGGACATTCAATTTCATTTAAGAATTATCATTTGAACTAAGTTGTTAAAGAATTCATTTTAGACTATTTCATCAAGAAAAGTTCATTTTATATACTAATGAAATGAAATTTCATCCTAATAGTGAGCAATGGTCCTAAAGAACACCAGCAGCAACCACAGACAGAACATGCTGGTGGAGAAGATACTGGATTTGATTCATGGAGAGGAGGCAATAGTACACATCATTCTAGTTATCCAATTGGAACTGGTGATCCATATAGTCCTTACTATGCAGGTACTTCATTCCCTTATCAAACATTTGGCGCTGGGGATGGTACTTGGTCAAATGGAACAGACCCCGTTGCGTTTCTTTCTGGCTATGGAGGTCAAATAGGTCACGATGCATATGGCATGGATGGAATGTTTTCTGCTAGTGCAGGAGGTGGTTTTAGTACATTTGGTCAACCTGCTTTTAATTATTTTCATGGAAATGGTGATTTTAGTGCTTGGGGCACTCCAAGAAAAACACGCTATGAAGATTATTATCAGGCTCCACGTGGAAATGAAAATTATCCAACACCTAGTAATGCAGAAATTAAGACTATTGAACAAAGTGTGCAAGGCTTGTCATTAGGAAGTGGAGAAGTTCCACGTCAAGAACAAACTTCATCTAATCAATCAATAAAACCAGAAGCAAAAGAACCTAGAAAGATAACATGGGCCAGTGTTGCAAGTCAACCTGCAAAGCCTGTTCCTCCACTTTCATCTTCTCAAGGAATGAAAAAAAAGGCTGGAATGCCACCACCACCTATTGTGCCAGGGAAGCACAATATGGATATTGGAACATGGGGTGAAGGTAAATCTTCTGCACCTCCTCCAACAGCACCACCGCCACCACAAGTACAGCCTCCTGTTCCACCACCCCCGCCATTGGCTCAGAGACAGAGACCTCCTCCTCCTCCACCATGTTGGAATAGACAACCTACAACACCTCCATCACCTCCACAATCGCAGATTCATATGCCTCCACAACAACAGCACCAACACCAACAGCAGCAACAACAACAACAACAACAGCAGCAGCAGCAGCAACAACCTCAGCAACAACAGCAGCAACTGCAGCCACAACAGCAGCAAATTACACAATCACAGTCGCATCCTGTCTTAGATAAGCTGAAAGTGAAGAATGATTATAATCCTGTAGAATTTGATGAAACTGCTCCTGGAGCTAGGTTTTTTGTAATCAAGTCTTACTCTGAGGATGATATTCATAGATCCATTAAATATGAGATTTGGTGCAGTACTGAGCATGGTAATAAAAGATTGGATCAAGCATATAAAGAAGCCAGTTGTGAAGGTGCGCCTTTATATTTGTTCTTTTCTGTCAATGGATCTGGTCACTTTTGTGGTATGGCACAAATGGTGTCACCTGTTGATTATAAGAGCAATAGCTCTGTATGGTCTCAAGATAAATGGAAAGGCCAATTTCGTGTACGTTGGATTTATGTTAAAGATGTTCCTAATGTGCAACTTCGTCACATTAGACTAGAAAACAATGAAAATAAACCAGTGACTAATTCAAGGGATGCACAGGAAGTCCCTCACGCAAAAGGCATAACAGTGCTGCGTATATTACATACTTATCGACATTCAACTAGTATTTTTGATGACTTTGGACATTATGAACGTAAACAAGCAGAAGAAGATCAACGTAAGGCTCCATCAAATGCTATACAACATCATCACTCTTCCAATCATAGAAATAGAGGACATTCAGATTTATCAAGGGATCATCATCCTCATCAATCGCATTTACATCATCAACGCAAAGTAAGTGACAGCATTATGATATTATAAATGTAATGAAATTCAAAATTAATTATATGGTAGTACTTTTTTAAATGATGTATCTCTTTGTATAGGATCGGGATGGTGGTCGTGGTAGAGGCAGAGGAGGTTCACGCCAGTAGCGATGGATACAACAAGAATATAATACTGTTCATAATAGTAATCATCGTAAAGAAAGCATGCTACGACTAATTATCGTCTTACTACTTACCTTTGCTTTCTTGGATACACAAAAGGCTTCTAATTCCTGTGAAAACTTGTCATCATTGAGACTATTTCCTTCTGTTAAATAATCAACTTGTATGATAATTAGCGTCATGACGGCATCATAAATATTATCTGATCATAACTACCATGAAGAAGAACGTAATTCAATTTCAAGGGATATTGGGTAACCTTGCTGACAGTTATAAGCATATAGTGTGGTGTTGCGTGCTATTCATCGAAAGGTGTTTCTTAAACGTACAAATTAAAAATGAGAGAAAAATGAAATATGGAACAGAAGAAAAAACTGTAATATATGGACTAACCCTTGTAAAATGCTTAAACTTTTGTTGATAATGAAAAAATCTATGCGAGAACAATATTGTAAGCAAGTGTCATTTAAATCAATTACCATTTTAAACTTTGATGGACATATAACCTGGTGCCTGTGGCTGAAAGGACTCACCTTTCTTTGTTATAAAGGTGCAAGGGCTTATTACAACGTTTTAAGTTTATGTGTAACAATTATGCTTGATCATTGGATAATAATAGAAATTATTGTCAACTGATTATTTTATGCATATTCTATATCTATTGCAAATTATATATATAATATATATATATTATTCTAATATATATTATATATTACATATATTCACTATATATATTATATATACATTAATTATATATAATATGTATAAATATATATAAATATATATAATATAATTATATATGTGTATTATATATATATATATTACCTCTTATTATATTATTATATTATTCATGGACTGCAAAAGTGAACTAAAACATTATATGAAAATAATATTATAGTTACTCTATAGTAACATATATGATAATGATTACTGTACTATTTTATGAAAATTTCATGAGATATCAGTTTTATTGTTAAAATTGACTGTTACTTTATTTTGTTTTAATGTTTGATACACTTTTTGTCATGGTTTCATTATTTTATAAATTCCAGTTGTTTTTACTGAAATAGAAACCTTGTGTTTTTGTATATTGGAAAAAAGGAATATGTATACTTTTCATGCCCATTAAGAAAACGGCTCCTTTAAAAATAATATCAGTAAATTTAAACAATTTTTCACAAATTATATGTAGAAAATTGAACACTAATATAACAAGAATTGCTTAACTAATGTGGATTTAGTAAACTAAAATATACAAAATAATAGATTCCATCTTAGATTTGATTACATTTTGCTGGTAGTTATATATACACATTTACATATACGTAGTTACATATAGTAATTAATTTGTAGAAAATTGTAAAAGAAGCAGTAAAATAAGGAAATTTGAGTTCTTTAAGTTTTTATAAAAATTAAATTACTTTTTCATTGCAAATTAGTATCATTTTTGCATATGATCAAAGAATTAATTACAAAGTAGTGACATGAGATTTTGAGTTGTTTAAAAAGTTTGTACAAAATTAATCAATGAATTAAACCACAGAGTAGTTTAATGCAGATTTTTTAATGAAGGTATGCATATTATCATAACTACTTTTGCATACTCAATTATAAACAAGAAAGGGAATCTGAATCATATACATTACAAATCTCTTTTCTTGTTTTTATATTGTAAATGATTAAAAAATAAACACATTTTATTAAAGTAATATATCAATATTAAAAATTTGTAGCCAATGTTTTTGAATCACTTTAGCTTATTTATAGTTTACAAGTAGAATAAGTTGCTCAGAAAATGGACATGTAGTAATGTCCAATAACTAAAAATAATTGAATAAAAATTAAATCTATTAAAGTTCTGTATTTCAGTTGAACAGCACTAAAATATTTCGTTAGACTATTTACTAAGAAGTATTTTATGGGAAATTATTATTGAAAATAGTTGATTTTTTCAATCATTTTAGAGTTCTGCTTAAAAATGTTTGGATTCCAAAGTTTATCTAAACTTTATTTTATGGTTAATATAGCACATGCTAATGTATACAGACGGTGTATCTGTATATTATCATTGTATTATAATATGCAGACATACAAATAGTATACTTGTAATGTACTACATTGTTTAGTATTTACATTGTATAATTGTACTTGATTAAATATTGATTTGAACTATAAATTTAATATTCAAATTGAACTATTACAGAATCATGTATGCAGGCAATGAATTATTCAGAAAATATGAATTTGATTTAGTTTTGATTGCAAGTTCTGTAATTAAAAAATGATAAAAGATTGAGTAGTAATTGCGTTCAACGTAATACATGTATAATACCGATGTTTTATGATCATGCGTTATCAGATACTAACTTACTTAAAGCAATTATTTAAATTAAGAAAACCATATTTTAAAGTGTGATAAATTAATGTATATTTGTAAATTTGTTGAAAATATTGTGTTGAACGTAATTATTGATCAGAAATAATATTTCTTTATCATCATTGAACCTGATCATCCCATTTTATTTACTTTTTTACTTTGTTTTCAGTAAATGTCTTTGGATCTTGATGAGATGATTGTTTATTATTTGTTATTAAATCTGGACAAAGTTCTTCTGGTGGTGGTGTGCGTGGTCGTAATTCACCGTGTTCTCCTTCATATCGACATTTAGTTTGAATTTCAAAATCCTTTATACATTGTTTCATATTAATATCTCTTGCAACGGTCTCTCTAAAGGGTTCAAGCGATTGCAATTTCGCTTCTTCATTATCTTGAATCTTTTTCGTTTCTGTCCCTATATCGGTGGAAAGTAAATTTTGCTTAACTAAATAATTACGAATACTATCTCGTACTTTTTGTGGAAACTTTTCAGGATTCGCTTCAATGTAACGATACACAAAGAGATCAGCGCCAGTTATTATGAAATAATGATTAAAAATATTAATTTTTGCACCGACATAGAAATCTTGAGGGGTATAATATTCTGGATTATCTCTTCCAGTCTTTGGTTTTGCAACCAATGTTGCTTTTAGGAAACAACCTTCGCGACGTCCTGAGTTACGTTTTTGAAGTTCCTGTACGAGTACAGTACCGTCACTTAAACTGTATTCTAAAATAAAGTCGCGACTTTTATCCTCCGGATGTACCATGTCCATTTTCATAGAATAACGTAATTTTCTAGGGAAATTAAGAAGTTGTCGAATGACATCTTTCTTAGGTGGTTCCGGTATAAATGATAGACAAGAAACGTAAGTATCTTCAGGTGTACCGAAGATTATATGTGGTGGAGGTTTATACTCTGGTGCAGCTATAACATCTTTTGTTGGAAAAGGAATTGCTTCCGGTTGCGTTATTCCTAACATATCTGAATAATATTTTCGTGTGAAGGAGTCACAATCATGCAAAAAAAATCGTCGATTGAATATAAAAACTGTACCACCTATCTGCAATTAAAAAGAAAAATATATAAATTATAACATATTAATACACACTTACATTTATAAATTATTTATAGACTAACTAAAAAGTCACTTGGTGTATAGTATTCAATGATCTCTGGATCGCCATATTCCATATATGCAGCAGGATGAGTTGATGGTAAATTTTTCCAATCCTTTGGCACTTTCATTCTTTTTAATAGCATTGGTACCGGATCTTTTCCGCTATTCGGTTTTTGTACTTCACGAACAGCGATCGTATCGTCCATCAAGAAATACATAATCTGATAAATATCGTCATCCCAAGTTGCAGTAAACAATAATACCATTTTATCATATTCTAAAAATCGTCGCCTATCATCATCTGATATTTTTGTAATACAAGTTAATGTTTTCTGCTTGCTCAATCTCAGTTCTGTATAAGGATCTACAGGAGGTTCTTCCTTATCTCCAACATCTATACCTTGGCTATTTAAATACTCTCTAGTAAATAGATCGCAATCAATAATATGATAGACTACACCATAAATACCTGCAAGCCCATAATAAAGCTAAATAAAAGATAAGAAAAAATAATTAATATGTCAAAAGATTATAAAAGATAAATGCAGATGTATTTTTCTTTATTAAAGAAAATAAATTAAATAAAAGTTGGACTCTTTGCCGCCTCTTACTAATAAACGTATGCATATACAATCATAGCAGAAACATTTTTATAACTTACATACGTCAATTCCAACATTAAAATCTTTCCAATGAAATGTGTCGCCATTTATATTTTTTATAATTTTATCACGTCTAACAAGCTTGCCTTGCTGAAAGCCGACATTATCAATTGCAGGCTCAATTACACATATAGTATCATCCTCCAAATGATATATTATATTAACATGACGTATACGAAAATGTTCATCTGGAGAATTAAAAACTCCTTGACGAAAAAACGCTTTAAAGCAGAGGCATTTCTGCGCAAATAGCGCATAGTGTGGAATGAATTGTCGATATGCATATTCCTTTACACGACCATATGTTAATGATGGATCATAACTAAATTTTAATTAATGTCATTACACCAAAAAGATTGAAAACTTATATAAAATTAAGAAAAGAACAAATCAGATTTTACAAAAATGAATTTTATATTTTTGCGTTTATTTATCACTTACTGTACACAATCCTCTTCTTTTACATAAGCACTAGATGCAATATCTATTGGTCTTCCTCCGATACCACTGTGTCTATCACGTACTACACGATAACCATTTAAAAAATGAAATTTTTGTAATAACCTATAGTCTTTGATCTTTAAAAGAAATATGTTCTCGCTTAATTTCATTGAATATAATGATTGTAACAATTAATTTAAATAATTTTTCAGACTTACATTTGGATCTTGAAATGTATAGCCTGGTATAAGTGGCAGATTTTCCATATTAAATTTTAAATTATTTAATAAAATATATATTCAAGAAGCATCTCTATTGAATATCTATTGAACTTGTAACTATTAAAAAGATTGTTTAGATTGGTTTCCATAACAACGTTATTTTATATTGATTTAACAGTACTTTAATTGTTATATTACTTATCATTTTAACTATAAAATTATATAATTGAATACATAATATATTTATAGATAAAGAATAACTAAGTCAATTTATATTTGATCTTTATTTTTGCATAAATTATTGACAACAGTAGCATTGGATGGTTTTCACTAAAATGGATTAGTTGCCTTGGCATTAAAGTCACAAACTAATTATTTCCTTAAAGATAGCCATACATCCTGCAGACAAGCAACCAGCCACTGGCACTGTAATTAACCATGCAAATGCAATATTACGAAATAACTTCCACGAAACTCCCTCACCACCTCGCGAAGCCCATCCCACACAGACAACAGATCCCACTTTACAATGAGTTGTTGACACAGGTAAACCAGCCTTACTTGCCAACAAAACTGTTACTGCTGCTCCTACCTATAATTTATATTTAATAATATGTATTTATGTAATAAATGTTACAATGAACATTATTTTTTTCTTAGGTATTATAATTTTTCATTTCTAAAATGTGTATACCTCTATAGTAAATCCAGTAGTTGGTGTAATCCGTGCTAAATCTTGTCCTAAAGTTTGTATTACTCTACGTCCCCATACCCAAAGACCAGTTGATATTCCTAAACCACCATAAAGTAATATAAG